GTAAGCCTGATTAAAAAACATAATTGCTACAATAAAAAACAATTGGAATTATAATACTTATTTATGCAATTTTATAAATATATAACCTTCTATTTATTAAGTACAAATTATCAAACATTTACTGTGATTGTTCAGTGCTATGTGCAGATTATGTTTTTATGAACCAACCTTGAATTTCGTTCTCAAGCTTTTGATTAATATTTAAGGGATCTATTTATTTCCATAATTTAAGATTTTATATTTAAATATTCTTCTGAATCATTTTTTTTTACGTCAACTATAATTGTGGTTTACACACTAAAAAATACGTTCCCGATTGACTTAGACAATTCTATCTCTCATAAACCGAATGATCATTGTTCTATACTCTTCGTATATACTGTGTTACTTATAATATTTTGTATACAAGTTTAACAATATTTGCTATGTGTATGTGCATTGCTATAATTCTCATGATGTATTTGTTATTTTAGCTGTTCTACACACGCTCATCACTTTTAATTATTATTCTCATAATCCTCTCGCAGGTCTGCTGGAAGAGATTTCTTAAAGAAATAAGCAGTGCCTTTGTACATTATTTTCCTATTACTCTGTACTATGTCTTCTTTTTTGTTTGTACATAAATAAAGAAATAAATAAAAAATAGACTTGAAATGTTGTCCGTGATTTTCTGCTTCAAAGCAAACCGATTACGAAAGCTACAACTATTTGAGATCATAATGCGAAACGTTCAGTTTTCGTATTATTTGTAACAATTGGATTGGAAATTTACCGAGATTGGATTTATGTGTAGCCATGTACGGTGGTTTTCATTTTAACTGAATTATTCACCAAGCATTACGAAAATCTCCACCGAAAGTTTCGCAATGTATTTTAATGCTTTTTGAACAGGATAACAAATGAGTAGAGTCATAAGCGTTGCAGTTTCAAGTTCATTCGAACAAATTAAAATAAAATAGATGAATCCTTAAAGTGAATATATTTTACAAAATTAAGTAACAGTGAGATGTAAATTGAAAAGCAGTCATTTCTTTAATTTTGATATCCGGAATTTATATGCGGTGCTTAGGTTCATAGAATAGTTATATGCTAAGAGTAATTTCTTTATAGCTTGAAGAGATAACCTTTTATTGCATTGACGAGTGATCGAGCTCACGGCCCACCTAGCGTTAAGTATTTATTAAAATCCATAGACACATTTTGAATGGTATTACCGCTATGAAGACATGGAACGGTCATTATAATGTAAAACAGCTTTGTTTAGATTTATAGTAGGGCACAGGATCACCCTCCATTATATTGTCGTTATTTGTATGAAAAACATCAATTTCTTTAAACTATTCGGGTATCAATGGGCTTTCATGGTACTATGACGGAAGATGTCCCTAGAGTACCAACCGGTCATCGTTCTCGTCGAACCCGTCGCTTGTGACGAAGGATTCGGCGAGTAAATTAACCCACAGACACAGCCCACTGAGGTTCTCGCCGGATCTTCTCAGTGGGTCGCGATTCCGATCCGGTGGTAGATTCTGCGAAGCACGGCCCTTGCTAGGGTTCGTGTTAGCAACATCGTCAGGCTTAAGTCACGTGAGCTCATCTACTAGTTAAGGTTACGCTGATATGATCTCTCTAGACCATCAGCTTAGGTAGGTAAAAAAAAAGTACCAACAAGAAGTCAAGTATTATTGTATTATTTGTCAAGTATTATCACAATCGAACGAATAGCTTAGGAACAAGGACAAGCAAATCTAAAAATTTACAAACATTAATTTTAAATGATGTAGATTGTATAGCTTGATCCAATATGATATATCGAAAGTTGATATTGTGTCTAATGGCTGGTGTGTTAAAAATACGAATGAAAAACAAATTCATTACCAACCAAATGCAATAATTATTTTTATGAAATCTAATTGAAATTCTTTATTCTAAATACATCAGTACGGAAAAGTCTGACACGCCTAGTGTGAAACGTTGTACTGTATACTGCATAGCTTTCAATTAAAATGCACAGCGGCGTTCGTTATATCCTTAAACTAACGTTGAACAGAAAAAAACATAACAGAAGCACTCGAAAATAGAACTTTGATTTTTTCTTTCTTATATGCTTTATTTTAATTAAAAAAAATCAGTTACCTAGTCTTACTTGGTTAAAGAATCATATATATTTTTATATAATCAATTCTCTATATAAAAAAAAAAGATATTTTTACTGCCTATCTTTTTTTTATTGCTTAGGTGGGTGGACGAGCTCACAGCCCACCTGATGTTAAGTGGTTACTGGAGCCCATAGACATCTACAACGTAAAGGCGCCACCCACCTTGAGATATGTTCTAAGGTCTCAGTATAGTTACAACGGCTGCCCCACCCTTCAAACCGAAACGCATTACTGCTTCACGGCAGAAATAGGCAAGGCGGTGGTACCTACCCGTGCGGACTCACAAGAGGTCCTACCACCAGTAATTACGCAAATTATAATTTTGCGGGTTTGATTTTTATTACACGATGTTATATTCCTTCACCGTGGAAGTCAATCGTGAACATTTGTTAAGTACGTCGTGTATTTCATTAGAAAAATTGGTACCCGGCTGCGGGATTCGAACATCGGTGCATCGCTAAATACGAATGCACCAAAATACGTGCGTGCAAAATAATGTAAAAGCGTGTTCTAGTCTTTTTTAAGTAACAATCAGTACGTGAATACAAAGTTTAATTCTGTCTTCGCTAAGACAAGTAAAATTAGTTGCTGGCACCTTTTGCGATTTTTACGACAACAAATGTACTTATTATTTCGAATGTTTTTCATTAAAATTTCGAAAGTTTCACGGCGGAAACATGTGCGATGCTACACTAGTACACAAGGCTTAGTGAGATTTTTATTTTACGGTCTTTCTTTTTCGTGACTTGAAACTCAAAATTTTTCAATTGCTAATTCTACGAGCAAGATAAGTGAATGGATTCCGTCTTACCTAATAAAGTTATTTTCAGATGAAATTCTCATAATTAGAAATATGTATAATCGGTCTATACTATCTACTCTGTTTTTATTTATTTTTATTGCTTAGATGGGTGGACGAGCTCACAGCCCACCTGGTGTAAAGTGGTTACTGGAGCCCATGGACATCTACAACGTAAATGCGCCACCCACCTTGAGATATAAGTTCTAAGATCTCAGTATAGTTACAACGGCTGCCCCACCCTTCAAACCGAAACGCATTACTGCTTCACGGCAGAAATAGGCAGGGTGGTGGTACCTACCCGCGCGGACTCACAAGAGGTCCTACCACCAGTAAAATTGCTTTAATTGCCGAAATTGCTTTCATACATGTAGGTACACGTTATTTTGCCTTTTCCGTGCATTTCCACTGTGATAATTTTTGATTAATTATTACTTTTTTTAATTATTTTAATAAGAACATATTATGATATTGTAAAAATTATCGCATTGATAAATAAATGTAAATGTTAAGATATATCTATAAAGCACTCAAATCAATTACGGTTTGAAAAATTAAAAATTAAATTTTAGTACATGTTTATTTTAGAACTAGCGACCCGCCCTCGCTTCGCTTCGGAAACATTAAAACACACATGAAACCAAAAAAATAAAAAATAAAAAATAAATAAAAAAAAAGTAGCCTATGTTCATCAGGGACAATGTCGGCTTCTAATGGAAAAAGAATTTTTCAAATCGGTCCAGTAGTTTCGGAGCCTATTCGAAACAAACAAACAAACAAATCTTTCCTCTTTATAATATTAGTATAGATATAGATATAGATTCCTAAACATCAGGTTTCTAATGAACACTAATCAAAAAGGATTAACGTCCGCCCATATTCAAATAGGGTTAGTCAGCGTTCTGAAATCTGTTTGAGCATGTTTCCGTCCAATTCGCTTCACTTAAACAATTATACAATCCGGTTGTCTGGTCTGGTGCCAAACAGCGCACTATAATATTAAGCAAATTATCCACTACAAGTAACATATTTAAAGGCACCAAACATTGACCGCGACCTCGCTGATGGTCTCATGAAAATTCAAGAAGAAATTTTGTTATCATAAAATTCATGGAAAGTGAAATAGCCAAAGTTCTCATACACCTCGGCAGAGGAGGTATTATAATATCGACGGGCTTGTTGAGTTCATGAATATATCCATATTGAACGTCATAGCTAATCAAAATGTACTCTACCTCGTAATTTTCAACATCAAACATCACTTAGAAACTAAGCGCTTTCTCTAGAAAAAATACACTTTATTTATTCACACACGGATCAACCAGTTCTAGTCTATAAAAGCGATATCGGTGCAATCTAATTATTCATTTCTCTAAAGTGCATAGCATTGCCTTGTTTCCATCAAATGCGAGTGAACGGATATCTAAATGATAGTGTAGGTGCTGTGTATTTTACTTGAGTAATAGGCTCCCGAAGCAATGAATAATTTTATTGGTGTTCGAAATTTCTTTGATGACTTATGATGTAAAGGTAAACAAACAGACCTTCGAACTATAATTGCATCAACAATGCCAGCATTATCGATGTTGTGGAGCTCCGGAACTGTTTCTTTGGACAAAGTGATTTAGAGGAAACTATTCGCATTGTGAAAAGCTTTTTTCGTGCCAAGGAAAATGTCGGGGTCGTGGGTGGAGAGGCTAACAGTGTTCATTAGACGAAGCTATGGGGACGACACATTCGCCAACTAAAATGACTCTGATAAACAATTCACAGGTAACCGAACGACTGTACAACCTAATCTAAGGATGAAGCCAAAAACTATATTCTATTCAGTTCTCGCAGGTTTACAAACTCATCATGCATCGCTGCCAATCTATTTCGAAGCTTACGCTGTTGTGTCTAGATTCGAAACTCCTCAATTAGTATTGTTTCGTGATATCGTATAGGCCTTTGTGTGTGATCAGGGTAAAGAGAAGGTGTATTGTGGAGATTGTACAGTCGCCGATGTGGGATTGCCGGTGCATAATCGAACAGAAGCCCACCGTTTTAACGTAGGTAACAGTATCTCCCGTGGCTTCAGTGAACGCCCGTCTCAGTCGGGCTCGACGAGTCTGCGACAGGGTTTGCGGACAGAGGAGCAGCCCCTGCAGGTTAAAAACAGAAATCAAATCAAATTTCTATCATTTGATTTGATTGAAAGGGAAGACCTGTCTCAAGACCCCTACACAGCACTTACACACCAAATCCAATTTTGCGTATTGAGGAAAATTTGACAAACCATCATTCAATAGTCCGGTATATGGTTCGGGTGAATGTCTGTGTTTATATTGTTATATGTTATCATGAATAGCTTATTTGTGTGTTATATAAAATTTACAATGCTGCATTTGTAATAACATCGACCATACAAAATTATCTAAACGAAAACTAAATTATCAGCTTTTCTAAATAACACTTTTCTATGCACAATTAACAAATAAACATTAATTTACATTATACACATATTTAACAAGAATACGATCAATAATTCAAAGCTTTATATTAGTTTAACAAAATCGTCAAACACATCTACTGTAATAATGTGCGTGCTTAAAAGCTATTTACACACATAGCTAAAACACGTGTCTACTTCAACATAAATTCATCATTGTTGTCGTTTCGTTAAAATGAAATGAAGCAAAAAAGTTTTTCGTTTATTTCTCTTTCGTTGAAAATTATCACGTACGGAGTACTTTTTTTGTTGTTGAGCAAACGGACTTTATTTGCGTATAGCGCCATCTGTTGAATAAAAAACGTACCTGTTTGAATGGTCGCATTCCTCCGTTGATTCGTAGAGAGTCAGCGGCGATGCCGGCAATTCCGTCGCCTGGTTCCCTTAGTTGTCGCAATGAGGCGCTAGGGTGGTGGTGGCTGTGGTGAGGACAGTGTGCCGCGCATGCGCTAGACTCCGGCTGCGAACTCTGTCGGATGATTCTCGCACTAGTTGTTGGTAGCAACAGCGCCGGGGGCTGTATAACAGGGCACGTACTGACCGCGTGGAGCGAACTACAGCCACACGGGTAGTGTAGTGCGGATCGTACACTCTCTCGGGACACAGATCGCGCTAGTTGTAACGCTGAAACCGGCGCCGTTGATTGTCTTCGTTCACAGACGCGACATCTAGAATGCGAGTGTGGAACTAACGTGCAGGCGGTCACTGAACCTCTGTGGGAGCAGCCGGCCATTGGCGATACTAAAGTCTGGGGTCTGTCTGCGTGCGGAACAGTATCGCGGCATTGCAATTCTATGTCTGGGACGCTTCTTGCTGTACCTTCTTCCATTCGTATGGACGTACCACTCTCTTCGCTGCCCGGCCCTCCTGACAGTTGTGGTCTTAAATGCGTCGTGCAGTCTTGTCTTTGTAGAACCGGTTTAACTGTTCTGTTTTCTGACGGAACTATAACAGTAACTGCTGGTCCGGCGACCAGAAGACTGGCCGTTTCATCGCTGCTCCCATATCCAGAATTCGTGATCGCTTCGGTGCTATCTATCGTTGGAGCCGACATGATGTTAAATCTGAAACAAAATAGGTTACATTTATTTAAAGTAGTCAGGGTCAGTATTTACAGACTAAATAATCATTTTAGAAACTCTATATCAGTTTATTTCCTCACAGAAATATTGCTTTACTTAGGATTTAGGTTTTAAGATCAGTGCAATATGCACTATATGCTAAAATCCTTATTGCATGAAAATGTAATTTTATTACTGCATAGATTAGTAAACAAACTCACGGTCAACCTGGTCTTAAGTGGTGACCGATGTTCACGGAAAGAGATTGAGTGCTACTAGGTAGATGGATAGAGCAACACAGTCAGATATATAATTAGTACCGCTTTGAAGGGTGAGAAGGACGGACTCTAATTTAAATATCCGCAATGTTAATATTTCGTTCGGTAGCTATCATAGAACACAAGGTATTTGATAGATTCCTGAATGTCGCTAACGACACTGTCAAGTTAAAATATTAATTATATTTCGATATTATTACAAGTTCCGAACAATTACATTAAGACCGTCAGTCTATCGAACAATTATTTAGCTCACACAAGTGAAGATTTATTTGTTGTATTTCGTCCAAAGTTCATAAATTATCAAACGTAAATAGTTTTACAAAATATTACATAGCATATAGCATTTAGCATGTAACCATTTTAACAATGTATCATTTTAAGGGTTTTTCTATTGTTATTTATGATTTTGTTTTGTATTTTACGTTGCTGTATTTCATCATTAATGCTGATGTCATACGTATTTATATACCCAAATGCTCAACATATAGAATTAAAATGAGATAGGGTGGGATTTCTATCTCATTTTTATTAATTTGATAGTCATTAGAGACCCGAGTAAGTAGTCAAGGTTTTTCATCAATATTACAAAATTGTCCCAATCCCTATTATATACCAAAGAATGTAACTTTTAGTGAACGTAGCAATCATGAAGATTATTGAACAACATAACAGAATTATGTGAAAGGTCAAATACCTTTTCTAAAATTCATATGATACAAAACATTTATGTCGTATCTGCAGGAACTATAATAAGATAGAATCTTAGCGTGTCTTCCTCGTGTTCTGGAGGACTTTCAATACATTATGGCTCGAGGGTTAAGTAAATTTATTATTCTTACCGTTATGTTGGTATCGGTAAAGGTGTGTAAGGATTAGAATAGAAAACCGTTTATTTAGTTAACCGATATCAAGGGAGAAATTTCAAAGGTAAAAATGAAGTTAAGTAACACAACAATTCACTTTTCCTTTTTAATCCATAAATTGCTAGCATCAAGGCATAAGCCAGTCAGTGGGCCGCTTTTATGGGAAATATGTACTTAACACGTGTTCACGAATGATTTCCACATTGAAAGCACACGTGAGCATTGTGTAATAAAAAATAATACCATCAGTAATAATAATTTCCACATGAAGAATTGCTGTGGTAATCAACTTAAAAAAATCAAAAGCGTAATAAAGAAAACATACTATGTAATCGTGTCTAATCTAACTTAATGCTTATTAATAAATAAATGTTTTCATAAATCAGTTACACAATGAAGGAATATATCATATAACAAAATGAACTAGGTTTAAAAAACACTATATTAGCTGTTTCGTAGAATTGAGAAGAGCATAATGCTTACACAATGTTTGATTTAAAACCGGACTTACACCTCAATTTGATAGCCTCAACAGAAGACCTTACCCCTTAATTGTGTAATTTTGGGCCCTTTTTGATGTACACATACAAGTAGGTAAATTTTTCATATATATTTATGCATCTCACTGAGATCATCATCATCAGCCTGCGGCAGTCCACTGCTGGACATAGGCCTCCCCCAAAGCTCGCCACTGAACCCGATCTTCGGTTCTACGCATCCAGTTACTGCCAGCTGCCTTGCGCAGGTCGTCGCTCCATCTAGCAGGAGGGCGTCCCACACTACGTTTGCCGGTTCGCGGTCTCCACTCCAGAGATCTCTCACTGAGATGAGAAGGACTAAAGGACTTTCTTTTGGTTTGGAAGATACACTCTCTCTCTCTCTCTCTTCGATCGGTTCCTCACTGCTGAGGATCGTGACTCCGTCCGATTTCGTCAACCAACTGTCTCCATCGAGCCCGCCCTGCAGCCCGGTGGAGTGCGTCGCTGATAGGCATTCCCAGCTCCTCCGCTATTTGGTCCGACCATCGTTTGGGACCTCTACCCTTAGGCCTTTTTCCCTCTATTTTACCGGTCACCACAAGGCGTTCCAAATTGCTGGTATCCCTACGTGCAACATGACCAAAATACCGCAATATTCTTTGTAGGCAGATTGTGGATAGACGATGAATCTTTTCTATTTTTAACTGCCTGAGAATAGATATGTTGGTGCGGCGGGCCGTCCATGGTATTCGTAGCATACGTCGNCTTAGTAGCAAAAAGGTAAAGTGAAATAATTGTATTATTTGTATTCATGTCTATGATAATAAAATCCTTTTGTTTAAACTTTATCTAATTTAACTTTATTTAACCAATTTCTAGAAAGTTGCATGTAGATCATTTTTCGAAAAATAAGGCCATAAACAAGTTTCACTTCTTACGTGTGTACACTAGTACACGCACACATTTTTTTATTATAAAAAATCAGTTAGTCTTACTTCGCTATAGAATCAATTCTCTATATCTAAAAAAAGTTAGTTTTTTCTGCTTATTATTATGTAAAAGCGTGCTTTTAGTGTTTTTTAAGTAACATTCAGTACGTGAACACAAAGTGTAATTCTGCCTACGCAAAGAAAAGTAAAATTGCTGACAAGTTTTGCTATTTTTACGATAATAAATTGTACTTATTATTTCGAATGTTTTTCATTAAAATTTCGACTTAGAGCTTTTTTTTTTTTCAACACGGACACATAATCAAACTAGACGTAAAACTGAAGTTTCCTGAAGTAAGAAGTGAAGTTACCAATAGGTTAACAATGACCAAATTTCTAATTGCAAAATACGAAAGTTTCACGGCGGAAACATGTGCGATGCTACACTAGTACACAAGGCTTAGTGAGATTTTTATTTTACGGCTTTCTTTCGTGACTTGAAAGTCAAAAGTTTTCAATTGCGAATTCTACGAGCAAGATAAGTGAATGGATTCCGTCTTACCTAATAAATTTATTTTAAGATGAAATTCTCTTAATTAGAAATATGTATAATCGGTCTATACTATTTACTCTTTGCCAAAATTGCTTTCATATATGTATTATTATGTAGCACGTTAATTTGCCTTTTCCGCGCATTTTCACTACGATAATTTTTAGATTAATTATTATTATTATTTTTTACTTTATAAAATAATAATATTTAAAAAATGATCGCATTGATAAATAAATGTAAATATTAAGATATATCTATAAAACATTCAAATCAATTACGGCTTGAAATATTAAAAATTAAATTTTAGTACATATTTATTTTAGAATTCCTAAGCATCAGCTTTCTAATGAACACTAATCAAAAAGGATTAACGTCCGCCCGTATTCAAATAGGGTTAGTCAGCGTTCTGAAATCTGTTTGAGCATGTTTCCGTCCAATTCGCTTCACTTAAACAATTATACAACCCGGTTGTCTGGTCTGGTGCCAAACAGCGCACTATAATATTAAGCAAATTATCCACCACAAGTAACATATTTAAAGGCACCAAACGTTGACCGTGACCTCGCTGATGGACTCATGAAAATTCAAGAAGAAATTTTGCTATCATAAAATTCATGGAAAGTGAAATAGCCAAAGTTCTCACACACCTCGGCGGAGGAGGTATTATAATATCGACGGGCTTGGTGAGTTCATGAATATATCCATATTGAACGTCATAGCTAATCAAAATGTACTACTACCTCAAAATTTTCAACATCGAACATCATTTAGGAACTATGCGCTTTCTCTAGAAAAAATACACTTTATTTATTCACACATCAACCTGTTCTAGTCTATAAAAGCGATATCGGTGCAATCTAATTATTAATTTCTCTAAAGTGCATAGCATTGCCTTGTTTCCATCAAATGCGAGTGAACGGATATCTAAATGATAGTGTAGGTGCTGTGTATTTTACTTGAGTAATAGGCTCCCGAAGCAATGAATAATTTTATTGGTGTTCGAAATTTCTTTGATGACTTATGATGTAAAGGTAAACAAACAGACCTTCGAACTATAATTGCATCAACAATGCCAGCATTATCGATGTTTTGGAGCTCCGGAACTGTTTCTTTGAGCAGAGTGATTTACAGGAAACTATTCGCATTGTGAAAAGCTTTTTTCGTGCCAAGGAAAATGTCGGGGTCGTGGGTGGAGAGGCTAACAGTGTTCATTAGACGAAGCTATGGGGACGACACATTCGCCAACTAAAATGACTCTGATAAACAATTCACAGGTAACCGAACGACTGTACAACCTAATCTAAGGATGAAGCCAACAACTATTTCTATTCAGTTCTCGCAGGTTTACAAACTCATCATGCATCGCTGCCAATCTATTTCGAAGCTTACGCTGTTGTATCTAGATTCAAAACTCCTAAATTAGTATTGTTTCGTGATATCGTATAGACTTTTGTGTGTGATCAGGGTAAAGAGAAGGTGTATTGTGGAGATTGTACAGTCGCCGATGTGGGATTGCCGGTGCATAATCGAACAGAAGCCCACCGTTTTAACGTAGGTAACAGTATCTCCCGTGGCTTCAGTGAACGCCCGTCTCAGTCGGGCTCGACGAGTCTGCGACAGGGTTTGCGGACAGAGGAGCAGCCCCTGCAGGTTAAAAACAGAAATCAAATCAAATTTCTATCATTTGATTTGATTGAAAGGGAAGACCTGTCTCAAGACCCCTACACAGCACTTACACACCAAATCCAATTTTGCGTATTGAGGAAAATTTGACAAATCATCATTCAATAGTCCGGTATATGCTTCGGGTGAATATCTGTGTTTATATTGTTATATGTTATCATGAATAGATATATTTGTGTGTTAGATAAAATTTACAATGCTGCATTTGTAATAACATCGACCATACAAAATTATCTAAACGAAAACTAAATCATCAGCTTTTCTAAATAACACTTTTTCTATGCACAATTAACAAATAAACATTAATTTACATTATACACATATATAAACAAGAACACGATCAATATTTTAAAGCTTTATATTAGTTTAACAAAATCGTCAAACACATCTACTGTAATAATGTGCGTGCTTAAAAGCTATTTACACACATAGCTAAAACACGTGTCTACTTCAACATAAATTCATCATTGTTGTTGTTTCATTAAAATTAAATGAAGCAAAAAAGTTTTTTCGTTTATTTCTCTTTCGTTGAAAATGATCACGTACGGAGTACTTTTTTTTTGATGGGCAAACGAACTTTATTTGCGTATAGCGCCATCTGTTGAATAAAAAACGTACCTGTTTGAATGGTCGCATTCCTCCGTTGATTCGTAGAGAGTCAGCGGCGATGCCGGCAATTCCGTCGCCTGGTTCCCTTAGTTGTCGCAACGAGGCGCTAGGGTGGTGGTGGCTGTGGTGAGGACAGTGTGCCGCGCATGCGCTAGACTCCGGCTGCGAACTCTGTCGGATGATTCTCGCACTAGTTGTTGGTAGCAACAGCGCCGGGGGCTGTATAACAGGGCACGTACTGACCGCGTGGAGCGAACTACAGCCACACGGGTAGTGTAGTGCGGATCGTACACTCTCTCGGGACACAGATCGCGCTAGTTGTAACGCTGAAACCGGCGCCGTTGATTGTCTTCGTTCACAAACGCGACATCTAGAATGCGAGTGTGGAACTAATGTGCAGGCGGTCACTGAACCTCTGTGGGAGCAGCCGGCCATTGGCGATACTAAAGTCTGGGGTCTGTCTGCGTGCGGAACAGTATCGCGGCATTGCAATTCTATGTCTGGGACGCTTCTCGCTGTACCTTCTTCCATTCGTATGGACGTACCACTCTCTTCGCTGCCCGGCCCTCCTGACAGTTGAGGTCTTAAATGCGTTGTGCAGTCTTGTCTTTGTAGAACTGGTTTAACTGTTCTGTTTTCTGACGGAACTATGACGGTAACGGCGGGTCCGGCGACCAGAAGACTGGCCGTTTCATCGCTGCTCCCATATCCAGAATTCGTGATCGCTTCGGTGCTATCTATCGTTGGAGCCGACATGATGTTAAATCTGAAACAAAATAGTTTACATTTTGTTTAAAATAATCAGGGTCAGTACAGACTAAATAATCATTTTAGAAACTCTATATCTGTTTATTTCCTCACAGAAATATTGCTTTACTTAGGATTTAGGTTTTAAGATCAGTGCAATATGCACTAAATGCTAAAATCCTTATTACATGAAAATCTATTTTTATTACTGCATAGATTAGTGAGCAAACTCATCGTCAACCTGGTCTTAAGTGGTGACCGTTGTTCATAAACGCTGTAATTGAATACTGGCACCCTACTTGAGACATGAGGATTAAGTTTCTAAAGTGTAGTATAGCGTCTATATTACCTTTCAAACCCGAACTCATGACTGTTTTTCGACAGATGTAAGCAGGATTGGGATATTTACTCTTTTTTGGGCAGGTGCCGATCCTCTCACGAGGTACACGCACCTAGGGGGCGCGTGGTATATATGAGACTTGACAGGCTGCAGAAGTTGGAAACAGACCGCGGGCTTACGGTGTTTTAGGGCTCTACCCACAAAACGACTCCCCTTGCCCTGTCTCACCCAACGTCACTCAACTCAAACTCCTCCACTCAAACCCGGTCATAACCCGGACACAATAGAGAGTTCCCGCGGTCTACACTAAATGGTATCCATACAGGCTCATAATACGCCCCACCACTAATAAATGCCGATTGGTAATAGCAGTATGTTGAGTATAATACTCAGAGAAAGGTCTCGTCTTACGACACCCACGGAAAGACTTTGAGTGCTACTAGGTAGATATATAGAGCAACATAGTCAGATATATGATGAGTACCGCTTTGAAGGGTGAGAAGGACGGACTCTAATTTAAATATCCGCAATGTTAATATTTATGTTAATATTCGCTAGCTGTCATAGAACACAAGATATTTGATAGATTCCTGAATGTCGCTAACGACACTGTCAAATTAAAATATTAATTATGTTTCGATATTATTACAAGTTCCGAACAATTACATTAAGACCGTCGGTCTACCGAACAATTATTTAACCCGCTCGAGTGAAGATTCGTTTGCTTTATTTCCTCCAAAGTTCATAAATTATCAAACGTACATAGTTTTACCAAATATTACATAGCATGTAGCATTTAGCATGTAACCATTTTACAATTTTTTTACAATGTATCATTTTAAGGGTTTTTTAATTGTTACTTATGATTTTGTTTTTGTATTTTACGTTGCTGTATTTCATTATTAATGCGGATGTCATACATATTTATATACCCAAATGCTCAACATATAGAATTAAAATGAGATGGGGTGGTATTTTTATCCCATTTTTATTAATTTGATAGTCATTAGAGACCCGAGTAGTAGTCAAGTAAGTAGCCCGAGTAAGTAGTCAAGGTTTTTCATCAATATTACATTGTCCCAATACATATTATATACCAAAGAATGTAACTTAGTGAACGTAACAATCATGAAGATTATTGAACAATATAACAGAATTATGTAAAAGGTCAAATACCTTTTCTAAAATTCATATGATACAAAATATTTCTGTCGTATCTGCAGGTACTATAATAAGATAGAATCTTAACGCGTCTTCCTCGTGGTCTGGAGGACTTATAATACATTATGGCTCAAGGGGTAAGTAAATTTATTATTCTTACCGTAATGTTGGTATCGGTAAAGGTGTATAAGGATTAGAATAGAAAACCGTTTATTTAGTTAACCGATATCAAGGGAGAAATTTCGGAGGTAAAAATGAAGTAAAGTAACACAACAAACAATTCACTTTTCCTTTTTAATCCATAAATTACTAGCATCAAGGCCTAAAGGATAAGCCAGTCAGTGGGCCACTTTTATAGCAAATACGTACTTAATACGTGTTCACGAACGATTTCCACATTGAAAGCACACGTGAGTATTGTGTAATAAAATAAAAATAAAAAAATACTATCAGTAATAATAATTTACAATTAATGCTTTTTAATAAATGAATGTATTCATAAATCAGTGAATCAATAAAGGAATAATATAAAATAATATCCTATAATAAAATCAACTAGGTTTGAAAAACACTGTATGAGCTGTTTCGGTTAAAACCGGACTTATACCTCAATTTGATAGCCTTAACTTAATTGTGTAATTTTGAACCCCTTTTTGATGTACACATACAAGTAGGTAAATTTTTCATAGTTATACATTTATGCATCTCACTGCGATAAGAAGGACTAAAATTTCTTTTGGTTTGGAAGATACACACATGAGAATGTTTTATCAGATGGCGAGTGACTACCGATGCCCGTGAATATCAATAATATTAGGGGTATAGCTGAGCTGTTTTCTACCACTAGTACTGTGTAAACAGATTGTTTTGAGAGATGATTTGGTCTTGAGCATTTTCTGGCAGTCTCTCGAGTCAGTTCTGAATCATCTGAGGGTCGGACATAGGCTGTTGAGTAACAAGGCCTTTAGTCGGTTCAACTCCATCATACTCACCCACCGCCCCCAACATGTAGGTGGAAATCCGGCGACTACTTCCATAACCTAATTTATCCAATCATATGGAACCGCAAAAAGTTTCGTTTTGATTAACATTAAATAAGGACCTACTTATAAATTTTTTGTTATATAAATCTCGATATTATTTGATAAATTTATTAATAATGAAAAAGACCATCAAAAAATTAAACAATTAAATATATGCATTTTAAGAACATATTCAAGTATCTTCGAAAGATTAAAAATTGTCTTTAAGTATGTTTATATAGATCTCAGAAATATTAAACATGCTTAGATGACAAACATACAATATTTTTCTCGTTCAAAAAGTAATCTTCTTGACATAATCTTCAATCGCAGTCAGGAGTGTGTTGCGAGAAAAAGGTTGAATTTTTCATTTTTCCTTTCAGTAAGAATAATGCTCACGAGATTAAAGCCTTCACGTGCGCCTTGGAGAATGCATCACCATAAACCACGGTGCCATATAAACTTTAGTTGTGTACCAAGAAAATATAGTTTTATATCTAAGTTGTCTTTTCTATAAAGATAAATATCTGAATATAGCATCTGAGCTGTATAAACTTAAGAACTGTTTCAATAAATGTCCAAAGAGAATCATCAGAAATACGTCAAAAGCCAAAGCTGTCTTAGAGCTGTGTTTCTTGATTCTTCTGATTTCGATTGGACTTACGTTCAAACAACTTATGACAGATGATCGAACAAACAGCCGGTTTGGCCTAGATGCGAAAATTGAAAGATTATTATTTGCTTTCTAAATTGAACAAGGAGAAAGATACATCATACCGGATGGCAAGAGCTGTGACAAGTACAAACTCATTAAAATATGTGGACTATCGATGTCACTAACTTGTAAAAACAATAAAATTTTTGATTACTTTTCAAGGAAAAATTACATATGCCATGCTATGGCAAGTACACGTCTGAAGAGAAAGGAACATATGGTCAACCTGGTGGCTAAATAGAGACATCCAAGCAAATCTTGGAGCCTTGAATATTGGGACGACTACTCACGGTTTGGTGAACCTATAATCCATCTACTATTAGGTGGTTACTACTATCATGTTTTTGATCGCAAGTGTAAAGATTCAATCTTTACACTTGCAATCCTTAATATCGATAACCTTAAACCGGAATATTCAAGGTCAAAAAGCCACTGCCAGCCCTACGATTTTATTCAAGTAATTTATGTACCTAAAATGTGTTCACGAACGCGATTTATAAGTACAACAAGTACAACATCGTGCAATAAAACCCACCAAACGTATACCATAAACAAAATCTCGCTGTTCTTGGTACTTTCCGAAGACTCATTTACTCATCCGTAATTAATTGTTTAATTCATTTCGACGACCTGAGCCCGAAGTTCGTCGTGATTGTGTTATTTGAAGTAATTGAGTTCAAAGAGGCATAAAACAAGCGCACATCTCATTAAACACGATTTCAATTAAATATTTGCGAGGTTTTTCTACTGGGTTGGTTTAATTGAAAGTTAAATGGATGGTAGGATTTTTTTTGCGATAAATCAGTATACTAATTCTATGCCTACCTATTATTAAGCGGTTACCGGGGCATATAGACATCACTCACTTTGAATTTTTTTTTTGTCGGGTCGAAATCGCCCGACTTCCGCCCTTCACTGGGGATGGAGGGCGGGGCATGTCGGAGTCGAACTGGCTAAAACCTCCTGTCGCTCAACAACTAGCATCCAAACCTCGCATGAGACAGAGCTCATGAAAAGGTAAAGGGGGAAAGTGAAGCGCTTAGTGCGGAGCACATCTCTCCCATCACCCTCGCCCTCGGGACGCCGGACTGGCAGTCGTCGGCGCCACGACCACCAGCCCTCTCGGTCGGCAGGCTGTCCGAAGCCCGCCTAAATGGCGCCGGTTAGAATTGTCACTTTGAATTAGTCTCGTTTTCCTTGGTTTTTTCATATTATCCTCGGGAATTATTTCCCAATCAATATTAGTTTTTATGTCCTTTCCCGTACCCCTGACAATATGCATAATCGGTTCAGAAATTAAGTCGTGAAGGCATAATAATCAAACAAACTCACATTCACATTTTAAATATTATAGTACTTATGACAGCTGCTGTCCCGCCCTTCAAAACAGAGTGCGTGAATCCCTTTACAGGTAAAATAAGAAGGGGTGGCTTGTACCAAGCCATGCGAAATTTTATTTCTTCTTGTTCGTGAATATCGTTCTTGAGCGTGTGCTAGGTATGAATTTCCTTAGAAATATATTGAACCTCGGTCTGTCGGATTGAAACTTCGGCATAGTTGTTCGACACGAGTACACTTACCCTATATTAAGTGTAGGATCCTTCAAGCCACAACGGCTTCAATAAGACACATCAAACGACATATATGGTATTCCCATATCAAATAAAATAAATATGTTCCAAAAAGGTCAGGCGTGCAATAAATTAAATAAGAGAAATAAATAAAAAGTATAAGTTATGTGTTTCCATGATAACATATCGTCCTGGACTATATAAAT